TTTGGAAGCTTGAAGGGGGTGATTACGGCCCAAAGAACTAGTGTGTGTTCTTGGTGTTCTTGATGATTTGAAGATCTAACCCAAAAGAGATGAATTCACGGATGAAATCATAGGGTTTTACTGGATCAAGAAGGATATCAACTAATAATGAAAGAATCACTTACAACTTTGACGAGAAATGGAAGTGTTCTTGATGATACTTGAGAGAGAAATGAGTGTTCTTGACTTGAAGATGTGAGAAGTGATGAAAAATGAAGGAAATTCATACTTAAGGAGAGGGGTTCACGACTGCCAAGAGTTTACGGCCGTAAACTCTAGTTTGCGGCCGTAAACTCCTTGTGATGGAGTTTCCGGCTCGAATGCAACACGATGAACTTTAGTTAACACATCCTAACATACAATCCTTGAATGTACTAGGCTTAGAACACTCAAACAGACCTTTAACAATGCTAAAAGATAGCAGAAACAAGTCTGGCTTTTGATTGATTTAATTGGCTTTACAAGATAGAAATTTCGGGTTGTCACATCATCCCCCTGTTAAAGGGAATTTCGTCCCGAAATTAGAGTTTAAGCAAATACAAATAACTAAGGAAAGAGATGAGGATATTTCAGTTTCATTTGATCCTCGCGCTCCTAAGTGAATTCAGGTCCCCGCTTGGCATTCCAGTGAACCTTCACTATCGGGATACGACTTTGCTTCCTTTTGCTTGACCTCCCGGTGCATGATCTCTACTGGTTCTTCCACGAAGTTGAAGCTCTCGTTGATCTCGATCTCGTCGAGTGGGATTACAAGAGTCTCATCGGATAGACACTTTTTCAAGTTCGAAACGTGGAAAGTAGGGTGTACGTTACTAAGTTTGAGGAGTAGTTTGAGTTTGTAAGCTATAGGGCCGATTCTAGCGAGAATCTCGAAAGGCCCTACATATCTTGGATTTAGCTTTCCACGCTTTCTGAAGTGTATCAAGCCCTTCTAGGGTGAGACCTTTAATAGAACACGGTCACCAACCTGGAATTCCAAAGGTTTCCTTCTCTTGTCTGCGTAGCTTTTCTATCGGTCTCTAGAGGCTTTCAATCGTTCACGAATCTGAACGATCTTCTCTGTCGTTTCCCGAATGATCTCCGGACCTGTGAGAGTGTTGTCAGGAACTCGTCCTTTAGCTAACTGCGTATCACCCACTTCAGCCCAACACAGAGGGGATCTGCACTTTTGGCCATAGAGGGCTTCAAATGGAGCATCCTTTATGCTCGTGTGATAACTGTTATTGTAGGGGAACTCGACAAGGGGTAAATGAGTATCCCATGCCTTCCCAAAGTCTATCACACAGGCTCGCAACATATTTTCCAAAGTTTGAATAGTCCTCTCACTTTGTCTGTCGGTTTGCGGATGGTAGACTGTACTCATGTCCAACCTAGTTCCTAGGGAACTTTGTAGCGACTGCCAGAACCTTGAAGTAAATCTACTATCTCTATCAGAGATAATGGATATGGGAACACCATGCAGCCGTACAATCTCCCTAATGTAGGCTCTTGTTAGTTTCTCCATCTTGTCAGTTTCATTGATAGGCAGGAAGTGTGCAGACTTTGTTAACCTGTCTATGATTACCCAAATGGTATCGAGACCACCCGTTGTCTTGGGCAACTTGGTTATGAAGTCCATCATGATCCGCTCCCACTTCCATTCCGGTATCTCCGGTTGTTGTAGTAAACCTGAGGGTTTCTGGTATTCGACCTTAACCTTCGTGCAAGTAAGACACTTACTCACGAAGGTAGCAATCTCTGCTTTCATGTTAGGCCACTAGTATAACTTTTTGAGATCCAGATACATCTTATCTGAACCTGGGTGGACGGAATATCGAGTATTGTGCACTTCGGACATGACCAAGTCTCTGAAACCACTGTGCTTCGGTGTCCAGATCCGATCCATGACGTACAAGGCTCCGCCACCCTTGACTTCCAAGTTCTTATCCATCCCTCTAAGGGACTCACCCGCCACATTTTCAGGCTTTAAGGCTTCTATCTGAGCCTCCTTAATCTGTGTGGACAGATGAGAATGGATAGTCATAGTCAATGATTTGACTCTACGACCAGAGTATTCTTTCCGACTTAGGGCGTCAGCTACTACGTTGGCTTTACCGGGATGATAACGAATTTCACATTTGTAGTCACTGAGTAGCTCGACCCACCTTCGTTGTCTCATGTTGAGCTCCTTCTGGTCGAATATATGTTGTAGGCTTTTGTGGTTTGTAAAGATAGTGCTTTTTGTACCATATAGGCAGTGTCTCCAGCTCTTCAGAGCAAATACCACTGCTCCTAACTCAAGATCATGTGTGGTGTAGTTGACTTCGTGTGTCTTTAGCTGTCTTGAGGCATAGGCGATGACCTTTCCTCGTTGCATAAGAACACATCCAAACTCTTGGTTAGATGCATCACAATAAACTATGAAGTCTTCTATCCCTTCTGGGAGGGATAATATCGGTGCACTGCATAAGGCTCGCTTCAGCGTTTGGAACACATTTTCTTGTTTCTCTTCCCAGTCAAAGGCCAACATCTGATTCCCCATTTTCAACTCGTCTATAAATGTTTATAAAAGTTTGGTGATTCAATATTTTTTTTAATCTGATTCCCCATTTTCAACTCGTTTATTAGCCAGCTTTTAATGTTTGAATAAAATGATACAGTTTCCAATATCTGATTATTTGAAGACAAACAATTAGTTAGCAAAAACCAATTTGGGGGTAATTATAACAAAATCAATTATTGTATTGAAAACAAAAGGTTATAATAATTTTCATTTTTTAAACTCTAAACCAATGGCTTCTTAAAGAAACTAATTAAACGATTAGAATTCGCGAAACACTCAAACAATTAGAATTCGCGAAACACTCAAATAAGGGTAAATGACACAAAAGACACTACGTTTACACGAAAATTCTAATTTAATACTGTGTTATTTTTTGTCTCAAATTTGATACTGTGTTTTCCAATTTGTTACAATTATGACCACTTAACCGATCAACCCGGTTACTTGCTGACGTGACATGATGACGTAGGATGCTGACATGACATGCTGACGTGTCAAAATTGAATTTTTTTTTCCACAAAAGACACTAAGTTTTCATTTTTTTCGATTTTGACATTAAAAAATGTCATTTTTATCATTATAAAAAATGTCATTTTTATCATTTTTCTATTAATTTTTCAAACAATTACAATTTGCGAAACACTCAAACAATTGATTATCGGATTATTAGAGCTTCAAGCAAAGCACACACAAATGTAACAAAGTTACTTGTGTCATCATAGAAAAATGATACAAAACAATGAAACAAATGTATAACTAACAAACATCAAGACAAGAAAATAAGACAAATGTATGATACAAACAGAGTAAGCCTGCTATATAAATCTATCACAAGATAGAACTAAGAAGATGATACAAACTAAGTAGGCTAGATTTACGAATCTAACAGGAGTAGGCATGACAAACATGAGCTACAAAAACTTAAACCATATAAATAAGTAAATAACCATAGATCTTAATACGTACAGATTAAACAAAACTAAATATGGGAAAGCCACATGCAATTCTCGTACCTTATCCAGCACAAGGTCATGTAATCCCCATGATGGAGCTCATGCAACGACTAGTCAAACATGGAGTCAAAGTGACATTTGTGAATACAACTTCACTCACAAATTGGTTACAGACGCATTGTCTGAAGATGATAAGTTGAATGATTTAGCAAGTCTTGTGTCAATACCTGATGGTTTGGAAGCAGGAGATGATAGATTTGAGTTGGGTAAGCTATCGGATGCAATCTTTCGAGTCATGCCTGAAAAGCTTGAAGAGCTGATTGAAGAACTTAATGGAAAAGGAGATGATTGTGAGAAAGTTACATGTATTGTTGCTGACACGTGTATGGGTTGGGCGTTTGGAATTGCTCAAAAGATGAAAATAAGAAGTGTAGCTTTTTGGCCTGCTTCAGGTGTGGTTTTGGCCTCTTTGATTTGCATCCCAAAGTTGATTGAAGATGGATATATAGATAAAAAAGGTTAGTTTCATTTAAGCTCTAAAGATTCAGACTGTTTGATATAAATTATAATTGAAATGTTTTGAATTGCAGGGACTCTGATGAAGAAACAAATGGTTCAACTATCACCAACAATGCCTGCAATAAGCTCTTCAGACTTCACATGGCTTTCAATTGGCGACTTAAAGACACAACAAAGTCTTTTTGACTTAATACAAAAAGCCAATGAGTTCATGAAGCTTGCAGACTACTTAATTTGCAATTCAGCTTATGAACTCGAGACTTCAACATTTACTTCATTTCCTGATATTTTACCAATTGGCCCATTATTAGCAAGCAATCGAGTAGCCAAACAGATTGGCCATTTTTGGAAAGAAGACTCCACGTGTCTGACATGGCTTGACCAACAACCAATAGGGTCAGTCATCTATGTCGCATTTGGTAGTTTCACAGTTTTTGATTCTAGACAGTTTGACGAGCTGGCAGTTGGACTTGAAATGACGAATATGCCCTTCCTGTGGGTTGTGCGTCCCGACATGTTTGAAGATATGAAAAACGAAGGGTTTGATGATAGAATAAGCAAACGTGGGAAGATCGTGGGGTGGGCCCCACAGCAGAAGGTTTTGAATCATCCTTCGGTGGGTTGCTTTGTGAGCCATTGTGGTTGGAATTCTGTGTTGGAAGGTGTTAGTAGTGGTTTACCGTTTATGTGTTGGCCTTATTTTGCTGATCAGTTTATCAATCGGGTGTATGTTTGTGATGTTTGGAAGATTGGATTGGAGTTTGATAAAGATGAAAGTGGGATCATTACAAGAGAAGAAATCAAGAATAAACTCGAGAAGCTTCTAGAAGACGATGAATACAAGGTTAGGGCTGTGGATCTTAAAGAAATGGCTGCAGTGGCTGTTGGCAGAGGTGGCCACTCTGATAAAAATTTCAGCAGCTTCATTGATTGGATAGAGGAGAGAGATACTTAGTCTGTATCGTGGACTAAAAGTGTAATGAAACAATGAAACAAGGACCAAAAATGAAAAAGTATTCCTTTTTCCACCATATCCAAAAAAATCGATATAGCATAGGGACCAAAAGTGTAATTTTCTCTAAAATCTATATCAGTTTCTATGCTTTCGAAGTGATGCATATCATACTGTCATTGTGGATCTTTTGAGCCTCCCTAATTCCAAAATGATCAAAGATCTCACATTTAGACAATGACAATATCTATAAAACTAAGGCCTCTAGTCCTAACATTAGCTTCAAACCAGTTTAATAATACTAAGAGAAGCTATCGTGAATGTTAGGTTTTCATATGACAAACACATAACTAAATCTGCAAACAAAAATAAAGACGACAAAAGATTTATGTTGTTCATGCGCATTAGGATAATCATTCTATGTCTAGAGGCAAAAACTGACTAGTATAGATTTTGACCACAAAACTGCATACACAAGCAATCAGTCTACCAAACTCAACAATGAGCCTCGAATAATGGCGAGAACAATAATATAACACAAGAGTGATGGTTGGGTCTATAGAAATTTAATTTGGTGATTGTAAGATCAAATGTCTATGTTCTACTTCCTAGGGTCATGACAAATTATAAATTTTTAGATATTAATCCTTGATGTAAATCATATTTTACTAGGTCAGTGATGTTCATATAGTATGAATAAATGAAATGAAAAAATATTCTTCTTTGAATTCCTTTTTATCTTCTTTGTATTTCTTCATAACCATTCATCGTCATAGTTTCCGTTAGAATTTTTGGACTTGACCTTATTGGCAGTTTTAGGTCAGACAACTAATGTTTATTTATATCACTTGCATTTGTGTAAATTGTAAACCATATCATAAAGGGTATCATAAAGGGTGTCATCAGTAACCAATAAAATCTCTCTCTCCCTCTCTCTCTCTCTATCTCTCTCAATTGACGTAGCCGATCATCCTGATCGTATGAACCACGTAAATAGCGTGTTCTTATTTTCGTTTGCATCTATTATTCTGTTTGAAAAATCGTTGAATCATTTGTTGAAATGCTTAAAACCATAATATCATCATTGTCATCATCATCTTATTTTCACTTTAGTAGTTCCTGTGGGTACCTGTTTGGCTAAACTTTGGTTAAAACTAACCTTAGCTGGGGTAAGTCATAAGTCATAACATGATTATCCCCCAAAAAAAGTTATCACTTCCACAAGCGAGCCACACTCATATGCAAGGACGTCATGGGTAGAATTTTTTTGGTGACATTGGTTTTGTACGAGACCTAAACCATAGATAACTAATAACGATTTATACAATGGAAGAGCACATTCAGAATACATATATACTAACCTTGGTGGTGATATTAATTAGCTAAAATCCAATAGTGTAGACACAAGTTGAACCCCAAAAAGACAAAAAATTAAGAAGATTAGTTACCATAGAACTAATAACGATATAAAAGACGAGAATACATATTACTAAATATGAAAGTGTAACACAAGTGAACCCCAAAGACAAAAGTACTAAGAAGATTAGTTTATAACAGGAATAGAGTATGTATTACTAAGTACTATAAAGAGCAATAGATATAGAGACAAGAAAATAAGACAAATGATAAAAACACAAAGATGATACAAACAAAGTAGGCCTGCTATGTAAATAAATCTAACACTTAGGCACTAGAAGTCTAGAACAAACTTGAGCTTCAAGAGCATAGCTATAAAAGCTCACTAGATATTAACATAAACAGATGAAAAAATAGAGATGGGAAAGCCACATGCACTACTTATACCTTATGCAGCACAAGGTCATGTAATCCCCATGATGGAGCTTATGCAACGATTAGTCAACCATGGTGTAAAAGTCACATTTCTTAATACAGATTTCACTCATAAATTGGTTATCAATGCTTTCTCCACAGATGAAAACTTGAATGATTTAGCAAGCTTTGTGTCACTACCAGATGGTGTGGAAGCAGAAGAGGACAGAAAGGATGTTTGTAAATTAGCAGATGCAATCTTTCATGTCATGCCTTCAAAACTTGAAGAGCTTATTTACAAACTTAACATAAATGAGGGAGAGAAAGTTACATGCATTGTTGCTGACACGTGTATGGGTTGGGCCTTTGAAGTTGCAGACAAGTTGAGAATCAGAAGTGCAGCTTTTTGGACTGCATCCGCTGCAGGATTGGCTTTGTTATGGAGCATCCCAAAGTTTCTTGAAGATGGAATCATAGATAACAAAGGTTAGATTCACTTATTAGATTAATACAGTTAAATTGTTTTTGAAGAGCAGTCTTTTTCCATGTATAAGGAATAAGATATGGACTAAAAGTATTTTTCCATGTCTTTAGTCTTCATAAAAAAAGATTGTTTGGTTTTTAAAGTCTATATAAAAAAGACCGGTGGTGTTGATGTTGGTGGAAAAAAATATCACATCAAGGTTACAACTTAGAAAATATCGTTCAAAATCAGAAGCTATTTTTATTTTTTTTATTTTCTAGAAAAAGAGGTGAAAAAGACTTTTTAATATAATTTGTTTTAAAAAAAATACAAAGTCTTTTCTTCAAATGTCTTTCTGCACATAGACAAAATTATATAAGAGGTTGAAAAAGATTTTTTGATAAAAAAACAAACGACACCATATATAGTGTTTTCATGTCATTAGATAACGTTAGTTGTTACTCAAACCTTTAAATGTAGGGATTCTCATGAAGAAACAAATGGTTCAGTTATCACCGACAATGCCGGCTATAAATTCTGAAAACTTTATGTGGGCCCGCATTGGTGACATGAAGACGCAAGAAACTGCTTTTCATTTCGCAATAAAAACCAATGAGTTTGTGAAGCTTGCAGACTGTGTAATTTGCAATTCAGCTTATGAACTCGAGACTTCAACATTTACTTCATTTCCGGATATTTTACCAATAGGCCCATTGTTAGCAAGCAATCGTGTAGCCAAACAAATTGGCCATTTTTGGAAAGAGGACTCCACGTGTCTGACATGGCTTGATCAACATCCAATAGGGTCAGTCATCTATGTCGCATTTGGTAGTTTCACAGTTTTTGATTCTAGACAGTTTGATGAGCTGGCAGTTGGACTTGAAATGACGAATATGCCCTTCCTGTGGGTTGTACGTCCTGACATGTTTGAAGATATGAAGAATGATGGATTTGATGATAGAATAAGCGAACGTGGGAAGATAGTGGGGTGGGCCCCACAGCAGAAGGTTTTGAATCATCCTTCTGTGGGTTGCTTTGTGAGTCACTGTGGTTGGAACTCTGTGTTGGAAGGGTGTTAGTAGTGGTTTACCATTTATGTGTTGGCCTTACTTTTCTGATCAGTTTATCAATCAGATGTACATTTCTGATGTTTGGAAAACGGGATTGGAGTTTGAAAAAGATGAAAGTGGTATTGTTTCAAGTGAAGAAATCAAGAATAAAATTGAACAGGTATTAGAAAACAAGGAATTTAAGGTCAGGGCTATTGATCTTAAAGAAAAGGTTGCAGTTGCTTTAACCGAAGGTAGCCACTCAGAAAAGAATTTCAGCAACTTCATTGACTGGATACAGGATACAGATAATTAATATCACTCTAATAATGTTGGTGTTTTTTTTATCAAGATATAAAATAGTAAACACTAAACTCAAGTTTGTATCATATTTTAACTTTTATATTCTTAAAGTTGGCATAATCTGTTTGTATCATATTTCTAATTTTGTCTTGTGTCATTTTTATCTAATCTCAAGTTTGTATTAGGGCAAGAATGTTTGGTTCACATAGCAGGCCTTCTTTGTTTGTTTCATACATTTCTCTTATTTTCGTGTCTTTATGTCTTGTATTGACGCTGTTTTTGGTGACATTAGTACCACTTAAGCTCCATTGCTTAATATTTGTTTCCAATAAGATTACCCATCTTCTTTCTTCTTCTTTTGTAAGTTCAGCTAGTAGACTACGATCTTGTAATGTAGCTAATATTACCACCGAGGATTATATTCTATGAGGGTGTTTGGGATTACTTTTCAAAGTGATTTTCTGGATTTTTTGGCTTTTCCAAAAAGTCAAAAGTTTAAAAAAAATGTTTCGCAAATCCAAACGTACTTTTAGATTAACTTTTTGGCAAGAAGAAAAAGAAGGTGTTGTAAAAGATAGATTAACTTTTTGGCAAGAAGAAAAAGAAGGTGTTGTAAAAGACAGGAATTTATGACTTTTAGTGACTTTTGGCTTTTTGGCTTTTGCACTCTCAAAAGTTAATCCAAACACATTTTAAAAACTCATTTTGAAAAAATCATAAGTCAAAAAGTCATTTTGTCAAAAAAGACTTTTTAGGTTAAAAAAGAATCTCAAACACCCCCTGTATTTATGCTTCCATTCTATAAAACATCAGGCTCCAACATTCAACTCCTATCTCGTTTCCATGGATCATACAAATCCGACCCACACAAAAAGTGGGACATCAATCCCAAAAGCACTTATGTAACGACCCAAATTTTCAAAAGAAAATTTTCATTTTTAAATAATCAAACGCATTTCCAATAACCATGAAATCCAGAACAGTTGTTTTCAAATCCACATTCATTACAAATTTATTTAAAAACATCAGAGTGTCCCATAAAACATCGGTGAGAGAGTGCACGCCGCGCCATCAAGCATTGCCCTTGCCCTTGGGCTCAGATGTACCTGAAACAAATCCACAAACTGTAAGCTAATGCTTAGTGAGTTCCCCAGAGCATACCACACACACAAGCCACATAACACATATCATATTAGCTATAAAGCTATCTCTACCAAAGAACATACCATGTTAGCCATAAGCTATCTCTACCGTAAGTGACATGGGCTCCCCCCATGGTCTTACACCTAAGTGTCATGGGCTCCCCCATGGTCTTTCCCTGTCGGACAGTCATGGGCTCCCCCACATAGTCTTACATCCAAGTGCCATGGGCTCCCCACATGGTATTTCATGCAAATATCACAAAATCACTAACATACAACTCAGCATAAAGTTAACTATCATACCACATATCACTACTACAGCTAGTGTACCACATATCATAAAATGGGCCGTACTTGGTGTCTTAGACCCATTGGTATGGTGAGGTGACTCACCTCCGTCCGAAGAATCTGAAACTTCCCTCCTAACTGTCTGTAACCTTCTGTGCTGAATAATAATATTAACCAATGTTAGCGCCTCACATAATCAAAGGGAAACCCAAACTCCAAGTCCTTCTATAAAGGCCCAAATATTCTTCCCTTAATAATGAAGTCCATGTCCAAAAACCGTTAATGGGCCTCGTGGCCCAATAAGGCCCAATCATAACATCCATGGCCCAAAACAGATAAACTGGCCCACCATCCCCAAAATACAACTTGGCCCAATGACCAATTGAGGCCCAACAGTTCAAAGGCCTAAAACAAATCCAAACCCATCTGTGGTGCGTACGCTTAGCGTACCACCCTGGTATGCGTAGCGTACTGGGTCTATGGGACTTACGCGTTGCATACACTAGGTTACGCCCAGCGTACTAAAAAATTAAGCACTTTCTCCATTAAGTGCTTAATACTCGATTCCCTCACGTCTAAAGGTCAGATCTAAGCTTATTAAGACGACCTAGGGCATAAAGTTGGCAACTTTATGCCTTTTCATGTCTCATATGTTCCCAACACCCCCATTAAGACCTTTTTAAGGTTCTTAACCCATGCATGAGGTAAAAACACGCACTAAGACTTCATTTTTATGGAATAGACGGACCAAAGGACCTCAGATCTAACATTCCCATCCTCTGGAGTTGCTCAACTCACAAGAGAAGATCCAAAATCAACAAAAGGGACAAAACTAGAAAACCCTAGCTAGATCTAGTGATTAAGATGGAAAGGTCCAAGCTTTATACCTCCAGAAGCTCCTCAAGGTCGACTATATGCATATTCTTGAAGCCAAATGACACTCCAAGCTTCCTTGACAACTTCTCCTTCTTGAATGAACACTATAAGGACCACAAATGCACTCTTAAAGCTCAAAATGCACTCACAAATGGTATTAGGGTTTTCAGAGACGTTTGAAGGTGAAAGAGGCTAATTAGGGTGAGGCTCAAATGAGTTGAGGGTGTTAGGTCTCAAGTCTGGAAATTAGGGTTTGGACATCCGGTACTTACGCCTAGTGTACTCCTGGTACGCCTAGCGTACGTGCTGCCCCTCCGCGATCCTCCTTGCCAAGTACGCTAAGCGTACTCATAAGTACGCCCAACGTACTTAAGGGCTTCTTATGTTATATTTGAAATACTTCAAGGGCTAAAGGTCATACCCGATTTGGGATGTTACAAATCTCCCCCATTGAACTAGACTTCGTCCACGAAGTCCGTAGCTGCGAATAGCTCAGGATAATGCTCTCGCATCTCCTACTCCGGCTCCCATGTCCATTCGGAGCCCCTTCGGTGCTGCCATTGCACCTTCACCAGCTTCACCTCCTTGTTCCGAAGACCCTCTGTCTTCCTATCTAAGATGACAACCGACCTCTCGATGTAATTCAGGATCTCATCCACCTGAATATCGTCCAACGAAATGACGGCGGACTCGTCAGTGACACACTTCCGAAGCTGAGACACATGAAAGTTGTTGTGAATCTGGCTAAGCTCCTCCGGCAGATCCAAGCGATATGCCACCTTGCCCACCCGGGCCGTGATCCTGAACGGGCCTATATACTGAGGCCCCAGCTTCCCCCTCTTCCGAAACCTGATAATCCCCTTCTAGGGCGACACCTTCAGCAACACGAAATCCCCCACCTGAAACTCAAGATCTGATCGCCGTCGGTCAGCATAACTTTTCTGACAGCTTTGCACGACCCGCAACCGGTCGCGTGCCTGCTGAATCAGCCTGGTAGTCTTGAGCACTACTTCAGTGCTCCCCATGACCCGATGTCCAACCTCGTCCCAACAAACCGGGTGTCTTGCACATCCGAACATATAACATCTCGAATGGAGCTCAGTCGATACTAGCATGATAACTGTTATTGTATGAAAACTATGCCAGTGGGAGATACGTGTCCCAACTACCTCCAAAATCCAACACGCATGCCCGAAGCATGTCCTCTAGTGTCTGGATCGTCCTCTCGCTCTGGCCATCAGTCTGGGGGTGGTACGCCATGCTAAAATGTAGCTGAGTGCCCAGTTCCTCGTGGAACTTCTTCCAGAACCTGGATGTAAACGAGACATCCCGGTCAGAGACTACCGATACTGGTACCCCGTGGCTAGCCACCACTTCTCGAACATAAATATCCGCCAACTTTTCTACGGATATACTCTCATAAATCGGAATAAAGTGGGCATTCTTCGTCAGTCTGTCCACGATCACCCATAAGGCGTCCACACCTCTCGCCGTCCTAGGTAACTTCGTGATGAATTCCATAGTGATCTCTTCCCATTTCGACATGGGAATGGGTAGTGGCTGTACCTTGCCATGAGGCTGCTGATGCTCGACCTTGACCTTCCTGCAGGTTAAGCACCGCTCTACGAACCAGGTGATCTCCCGCTTCATGCAGGGCTACCAATAACTCAGTCTCAAGTCCCTATACATTTTCGTAGCCCCTGGACGTATAGAGAACTTGGACTTGTGCGCCTCCTCTAATATCCTCTGTCTCACTCCTCCAGTCACCGGTACCCACACTCGGCCACACTGCGTCAAAAGGCCACGTCTATCCTTAACAAGCAAAGAATATTGTCCCTAAAATTTCTCTATCTTCCAATTCTCCTTCTTCACTCCCTCGACCTGGGCCTCCTTGATCATATCCAACAAAGGAGAAGCCACCATCATCCTCATACAAATGTTACCAATAGAGGACCCCGCCGTCTTGCGGATCAACGCATCGGGCACCACGTTGGCCATCCCTGGATGGTATAGGATCTCACAATCATAATCCTTCAGCACATCCAGCCTCCTTCTCCGTCGCATGTTGAGGTTCTGCTGATCCATAAAATACTTTAAACTCTTGTGATCTGTATAAATGGTGCACCGCACTCCATACAAATAGTGCGTCCAAATCTTGAGGGCAAACACCACTGCCCCCAGTTCCAGGTCATGAGTGGGGTAATTCGCCTCATAAGGCTTCAACTGCCTCGAGGCGTAAGCTATCACGTGCCCCCTCTGCATCAGAACCGCACCTAACCCTGAAATCAATGCGTCACAGTACACCACCAAATCGTCTAACCCTTCGGGTAGTACTAGGATCGGGGCCTCGCATAACTTCCGTCTCAGGGTCTCAAACGCCAACTGCTGGTTTGTGCCCCACCGAAATGTCACATTCTTCTTGGTCAAGTGGGTCAAGGGCACATCTATCTTGGAGAAATCCTGGATAAATCTTCGATAATAGCCTGCTAAACCCAAGAAGCTATGGATCTCTGATGCATTCTTCGGTACCTCCCACCACATCACCACCTCAACCTTGGCTGGATCAACCGAAATACCCTCCTGATTAATAATATTCCCCAAAAACTGTACTTCTCGTAGCCAGAAATCACACTTGGAGAACTTTGCATAAAGCTTCTCCGCCCTCAGGGTCTCCAATACCTCCCTCAAATGCTGCTCATGTTGCTCC